ACAGACACCACCACCATGCCTGGCTAATTTTTATAGTTTTGGTAGAGACGGGGTTTTGCCATGTTGGCCAGGCTGATCTCAAACTACTGACCACAGGTGATCCACCCGACTCAGCCTCCCAAAGTGCTGGGATTGTAGGTGTGAGCCACCACACCCAGCCTTGGGTAATGAGCTTTGAAAACCCAGCTTCGAAATCTTCCCTAGTAACCACCGTGAGGTTAGAGGAGGCTCCTGCTGTACAGAAATTCAGGTGCTACTTTCCTGTGGAAAATAAGGAGCAGATGAATCATAACGGCAAGTAATCAAAATGATGGTCATTCGGGCAGACCACTATCCAGAAAAAAAAGAAAAAATTTAAAAAAGAAAATTAAGGCTGGGCTTGGCTTGCACTTGTAATCCCAGCACTTTGGGGAGCTGAGGCGGGCAGATCAGTTGAGGCCAGGAGTTTGAGACCAGCCTCGCCAATATGGTGAAACCTCGTCTCTACTAAAAATAAAAAAATTAGGCATGGTGGTACATGCCTGTAATCCCAGCTACTCAGGAGGCTGAGGCAGGAGAATCGCTTGAACCCGAGAGGTAGAGGTTGCAGTGAGTTGAGATTGCACCATTGCCTGGGCGACAGAGCAAGACTCTGCTAAAAAACAAACAAACAAAAAAAAACTACACACACACACACACACACAAAACAAAAAAGGAAAAGGAAATTAAAACAATAAATGATGGTGGCTCTTTGATTTGCTGTTGGTCTATGTGAGGCCCTGTGCATGGGATTTCACAAACATGTTCTTGAATCCTCTCAAAACCAGCTTGAAGGTTAGTGGCGTCTCCCTGGTGTGACAGGGTGTGTCATACATCTGGCGTTCAGCAAAAACAACAAAAATATAGAAATGGGGGTCTCGCTATGTTGCCCAGGCTGGTCTCCAACTCCTGGGCTCAAGTGACTCTCCTGTCTCAGCCTCCCGAGTAGCTGGAATGCAGGTACACACTTCCACACCCAGGCTAGCAACTGTTTTCTAAATGAATAAATCAAATTAGTCAATTTTACAGAAGGGGAAAATGAGGCTTGGAGAGAGACTTTGATGGACATGTTCAGACGTGGGACTTGTGGAGTTTTATAGTTTTATAGATTCTTAGTTTTTTGTTTGTTTGTTTGTTTTTTTGAGACGGAGTCTTGCTCTGTCACCTAGGCTAGAGTGCAGTGGCGTGATCTTGGCTCACTGCAGCCCCTGCCTCCCAGCCTCAAGCAATTCTCCTGCCTCAGCCTCCCAAGTAGCTGGGACTATAGATGCGTGCTACCATACCTGGCTAATTTTTGCATTTTTAGCAGAGACGGGGTTAAATGTTAGGCAGGCTGGTGTCGAACTCCTGACCTCACGTGATCCGCCTGCCTCGACCTCCCAAAGTGCTGGGATTACAAGTGTGAGCCACTGCGCCCGGTCTTTTTTTGTGTGTGTTTCTTTGAGATGAAATTTCACTCTTGTCACCCAGGCTGGAGTACAATGGTACGATCTCAGTTCATGGCAACCTCCACTTCCAGGGTTCAAGTGATTCTCCTGCCTCAGCCTCCCGAGTAGCTGGGATTACAGGTGCCCGCCACCACGCCCAGATAATTTTTTTATTTTTAATAGAGACGAGGTTTCACCATGTTGCCCAGGCTGGTTGCAAACTCCTGACCTCAGGTGATCAGTCCACCTCGGCCTCCCAAACTGCTGGGATTATAGGCGTGAGCCACTGCACCTGGCCAGATTCTTAGTTTTGGATGGGCCAAGACCTCGTGCCTCTGATACAGTCATTTTCCATATCATATTTTTGTTTCTGGGGTTCTGCAGAGGGCAGCGTGATTTCATCACTCGAACACTTTGTGGAACTGGGCAGGAAGCACTCGGTCCATTTCATCGATGGGCAAACTGAGCCTCCCCCAACTGGGCCCTGTGCCTTCTCGGGTTGGGGTGGATAACAGCAAAACAGTGCAGGGAGTGGGGAAGCTCTGGGAGGCCTCGATCAGAGCGCTCTGGCTCTGCTACTTTCCAGCTTGGTGGCCTCCTGAATCCTCATGTGGGCAGGGGGATTATGAGACCTGTTGCTGGGTTGGGATGAGGTGGATGAAGGTGCTGGGCAAGTGTGGGATTGATTTTCTGTGGGGACTCGAGTGGAATGTTTCTCTGTTGGCCCAGGGGGAACTTGAGGTTCAGAACATGGACATGAAGCCGGGGTCAACCCTGAAGATCACAGGCAGGATCGCCGATGGCGCTGATGGGTGAGCAAGGTTTCAGGGTGGGGGGAGTCTGCAGGCCTGGAACAGGCAAGGCGGGAGGGGCGGGCAGGGCAGCCCTGTGAACTGGTCAGGCAAGAGGGACTTCAGGCCAATGGGCCCTTTTTCACACCCTTCTCCCCACACCCCTGTTGGCCCCCACTTCATGTCTGAGGCTAGGTTTGGGGACCTGAAGAATTTCAGAGTTGATGCCATATGCTCTGTTCTTTTGCCCCAACAGCCATTGAAGGGGCAGGTGGAGAAGTCCCTGGAACTCTGCCTGGCCCCCTGCGGGGCAGGTGCCTCTAGGGAACCCCCAAATCCCCACAGACACCACCCTCTTTACCCAGTGGAATGGCCACAGGCTGGCCTTTCATGCGCATTAAACCTGGGCAGCCACCAGGGAAGGCTGAGTGGTCTCGCTGGCATCCTCTTGGTTAGAACCAGAGGCCTCACCGCCTCCGTGAGTCACAGTCCAGTGAAGGGCTGTCTCGCCTGCAGAACATGTTAGTGCCATCTTGGAACTATGCTTTATCTACTTTTTTTTTTTTTTTTTTGAGATGGAGTCTCGCTCTGTCGCCCAGACTGGAGTGCAGTGGCCGGATCTCAGCTCACTGCAAGCTCCGCCTCCCAGGTTTATGCCATTCTCCTGCCTCAGCCTCCTGAGTAGCTGGGACTACAGGCACCTGCCACCTCACCCGGCTAGTTTTTTGTATTTTGTAGTAGAGATGGGGTTTCACCGTGTGAGCCAGGATGGTCTCGATCTCCTGACCTTGTGATCCGCCCGTCTCGGCCTCCCAAAGTGCTGGCATTACAGGCTTGAGCCACCACGCCCGGCCCTATGCTTTATCTACTTTTGATTAGGCAGATGCACATCATAGGAGCTAAGAGAAAAGTGACTTCTTTCTCCTACTTGGGTCCCTCAAGTTTGCCAAAATGTGTGGTACCCTTGGTCTGAGACTCCCGAATGAAGGCACCCCATGACCCAGAATGCCCCACTTTCAGGAACCCTGCAGGTCGAGGCCAGGATCCTGTGGTGATCTTGCCTAGAAGTCATACAACCCCGGTTGCATACCTGTAGTGACGGGGAGCTCATCACCTTAGGTTGACTGTTTGTGGCTAAATTTAATAGGTCTTCAGATATCTGATAGCATTTCTCTCTCCCAGGAGAGCCACCCCCAATTGCTGAAGCTGTCAATATAAGTTACCCTTCTCTCAACAACTTGATCCCTGCTCCAAATGGAATGTGCTACCACAGTGCTAAGTCTGAGCAGGTTGTTACTTCCCTTGTTTTAAGGCACAGATCTCAACTAACACAAGCTTTGGTTCTTCCAGCTTGTGGCCAACCAAGATCCTCTAACCCAAGCTGCTTTATCCAGGCCTGAGCCCTGAACCTCACCTGCTACCCCTTCTCCTACAGCTTTGTAATTAACCTGGGCCAGGGGACAGACAAGCTGAACCTGCATTTCAACCCTCGCTTCAGCGAATCCACCATTGTCTGCAACTCACTGGATGGCAGCAACTGGGGGCAAGAACAACGGGAAGATCACCTGTGCTTCAGCCCAGGGTCAGAGGTCAAGGTGAGGTCAAGAGGGGAAAGGGCACTGGGGATGATGTCAAGGGGAGGGCCCAGATGGAAGGGAGCCTGGCCTGGACACAGGCGCTGGCCTTGTTTGAGCCATCAGGCACTGCCCTGGTCCATTTCCAGGGCCTCCTGCCTCCTTGACATCCTCCTTCCCCACAGTTCACGGTGACCTTTGAGAGTGACAAATTCAAGGTGAAACTGCCAGATGGGCACGAGCTGACCTTTCCCAACAGGCTGGGCCACAGCCACCTGAGCTACCTGAGCGTGAGGGGCGGGTTCAACACGTCCTCTTTCAAGTTAAAAGAATAAAAGACTAACAACCAAGATTCCCCGTCTGAGGTCTGAGTCACAACAGGATCAACAGCCCTTGGGTCCTGGGTGTGTCCCCCTATCTCTACCTGCAGTTCCTGCCCCAAGGCTAAAAGCAAACAAAATAATCCATTTTTATGGAGTCTTCCTGTGGCAAGAACTGTGGTTCAAGACTCCTTTCTCTCCTGGGTCCCTCGAGTTTACCAAAACATGGGATACCTCTGGTCTGAGGACCTCTGAATGCAGGCACCCCATGATCCAGAATGTCCCGCTCTCAGGGATCCTGAGGTCCCGTAGTGATCCTGCCACACATCCTCTGGTTGCACACCTCTAGTGACAGGGAGCTCACTACCTGACATTGGCTGTTTGTGGCTAAATTTAACTGGTCTTCTGATACCTAAGGAGGGCATTTCTCTTTCTATGCATTTTAATGCTCCTGGCATTTCCAAGATACCGAGGAGGAAACTGAGATACGAGGACACCCGGCTGCCACGTTGGGAGGCTGAGACATGCTCCCAACAGTTCTACGCACTTGCCCCTGTCTACTTGCCCCCACTATCGCCAGAGCAAATGCCACGCTACTCTGTGGGATTATGGCACAGACACCAGTCCCAGGCACCTGGGCCAGGAGCTGTTCCCGGAACTGCAGATAAGGCTCCCACCTGGGTCTCTTATCTCAGGGGCATTCCAGCCGGGTTACTCATTACCCTCCCCTTGGTGCGTCTACTTCCCTCCCCTGCTGGGGGCCTTGATTGGGGGGGGTCCTTGGCTTTCTAAACTCCCTGGAGGGGAGGGGACTGAAGCAGGTAGAGCTGATGCTGTTCTCCCTGGTCCCCAAGCATCTTGCAGGACACCTTTTATCAAAACAGCCTTATTTAATCAGGCCCCAGAGGCAAGTCTGGGGTATACAGGCAGGTGGGATTCCTCCCCAGGAGGTCATACCTGACCTTTCTGGGGTAAGAGGGAGGCTGGGGCGGGGATGTTGGGGAAGCGGCCTGGGAGAGGGCTGTCAGGGTTACAGTGGGGACGCTCTGGGATGAGCTGGGGGCAGGCGGTTCCTTTGGGAGGTGAGACAATGGCCCTGTGTGGTACACTCCCTGCCCCCCACCCCCCACAGGCAGCTTAGTCTGGCACAAAGGCCACACTGTGAGGCTGGGCCCTCCAGCTGGTGGGGGTGGCGTGGAGTGGGGCCTAAGGAAGAGCTATTAGGTCCAGAGTGGCAGTGGGAGGAGGTGGTCAGCTTGGCAGGGCCTCTGGGAGCATCCAAGTCCCAGAGCAATCCTGGCCTTCCCTGTCTTCCCTCCCGTGTCTGTCCTGCAGAGGTGGAGAGGGGTTTAGGGGCAACTCAGCTTCTCCCCTCTCTGGTCTGGTAGGAACCAGCTGTTAGGTGAGGGGCCAGCTCTGCACCTAGGTGGGGCCCCGGGACCACGTCCCAGCCCCTCACACCTTGACCTCATCATCCTCCTCAGCATCTGCAAATTCAAAGGTGTTTGCTTGCACCGTGCTGGGCACCGGGGTCCTGCTGTGTGCCTGGGGCACCCTCCACTCTTCATCCAGGCTCTCCCAGGAGGCCTGGGCTTGGGGCAGCACCTCCACCCGCTCCTGCCGCGCATCCATCTCCGGGTAGTGGCAGCCACCACCCCAGCCTGCTCCCCAGTGCCTGCCGAGGGCAGGGCCAGCAGGTCCTCGTGGACCCCCTCCCACTGGGCTGGCCTTCACTTCAGCCACTGGGCCCAACCCAGCTGTTACCCCATTGGGACAGTGTCCATGGGGTGTGGAGCTTGTGGCAAGGGCTGGGGGGTTTGCAGCAGGACCCGGGGGAGTTGTGGCAGGGGCTGGGGGGTTTGCGGCAGGGGCTGGAGGGTTTGCAGCAGGGGCTGGGGAGTTTGCAGCAGGGGCTGGAGTCTCAGCTGCAGGGGCTTCCGGGAGGCTCATGACCCCTAGCAGCTCACTAAGGAGTGAGGGCCCCAGGTCGAGGTCCAGGCGGAAGGACAAGAGAGAGTCTGAGCGGCGAAGCCCGGGCTCAGAGGGGAAGGAACCATCCCGGTCTCGGTCATGCGGCTTTTCCGAGCGGGGCAGGCGGGAGATGGTGCAGAACCCAGAGTCCAGGCCTAGAAGAGAAATGGGCAGTGGGCTCAGAGCTGGGGTCCCTCACCAGGAATTCAGGAGTCCTGGCTTGCTGTGTGGCTTCTGGCTAGTCCCTCCCCTCTCTGGCCTCAGTTTCTCCCATCTTTCCAATAGAATATGCTCCATGGTCACCTGTGTGATCTTCCTGTCTACCCTGAAGGCTGAAAATCATCATTATCCTCATTTCCATTATGCAGATGAGGAAAGTGGGGCTCAGTTTGAGATGGGGTGAAGGGGCTAGCCCAAGGCCATAGAAGTCTGACGAGGTGAAATCAAGCCTGGAGCTCAGATCTCCTCTCAGTCCCAATTGTGACCTCAGCCATGGCCACCGGCTCCCTGCCATGACCCTGGTTGATGGCTGCAGGTGAACCCATAGCACGTGGGTTGGTTTGTGGACACAGGATGGGACCAGCAGCCAGGGTCTGACTGTATAGAAATGAAGGACAGATATGTGCCTTCCCAAAGTCATCTAGTCCAGCCCATGCTTCCAGGACTACAGACCTGAGACAGAATCGAGTTTCTGTGGACCAGTCCTCAGTGTGTTTCTGAGCAGCTGCCTGGGGCAGTGGCGTTAGAGCATTTGCCCCAAATGCCGCAAGGCAGGGAGTGGCCACCAGGTGGCAGCAGGGGCCCATGGTTCTCAGGTGAACTCTGCCCAAACCGCCAAGGTGGCACTTCTGGCTGGGCAAGAAGGCCCCTGAGTTGTGGTCCCTGTGAGTGGTTTTCCAAATTTGTCGAGTTACAGGAAACCAAGTTCAGATAACAACAGCTCCAGTGTCCTGAGCACTTACTATGTACCCCTACGCCTCTCCTGGCACTGAATCTTAGCAATGACCCTGAGATAATCATTATCCAGGTGAGGACTTGAACTTACAGAGGTCAGTTGACTTCCTGAAAATCAGGCAGAACTGGATTGGAATCCAGAGCCCAGGCCCTTCACCTCTCCATGATATCATTCCAACATGAGGGGAAGGCTTTGGTTGAAGGGGGCAAGAATGGGTGGATGAGTGGTTCAGTCGAGGCCCAGAGAGGGGGACGTGCTTGCCCAGGTCACACAGCAAGTAAGGGGCAGCCAGAACTCAAACTCCACCTCCTCACTCTCAACCTCAGGTGTTTTGGGAAGTCAGCTTGTTCCCACCACTGCACCCCCTCCCCATCCTTGATGTGGGGTTTGGGCCTGCCTTCTGTGGTGAGACCAAGGGACCCGGGCAACAGAGCTCACTTGGAGTTTGGAGGAACCACTGAACCCCTCTGGGCCTCAGTCTCAGCCTCTGAAAAGTGGGCCAAGATAACCCAGGCCCTCACCGTAGCTGGAGTGGCCGTCCGTGGAGCTGCTGGGGCTGCCGTCGAAACTGAGCTTGCCAACCACGAGGCTGTCGTAGGCGGCCTGGTTGAGCTGGGGCAGGGAGATGGCATTCTTGATGATGGGGGAGATGGCCGGTGGAGCCGGGGAGGGTGCAGGGGGAGACGCCATCCTCCGGGGGGGCGCCCCCACCCTCCGCACCAGCTGCAGCTTCTTGGCCAGGAAGTTGCGGGGTGAGCGATGGGTGCCCCTGGAGCTGCCACCGTGGTTGCTGAGGAAGGAGGTGTCCCCGAAGACGTCCCCGCCACGGCCCACATGCATGGTGTGGCGGAAGTCCCCGAGCGGGGGGCTGATCATGTCTGCAGTCAGCCGCCTCTTTCCCTGTGAACTGGACCCCCAGACCACAGGCGAGAGCTTGCCCAGGCTCATGGTGGGGGCGCCGCTGCCCCCCTGGGGACCGGGCATCAGCTCTGGCTGCTCACAGCTGCTAGTCCATGTCCACCAGGGGCCGGGGGAGGGAGGTGGGCCGGGCTCGGGATGGCTGCTCAGCTCCTTTGCCCTGGTGGAAGCTGTAAATGACGCTGTCCTAAAGTGAGGTCACCGAATGCTGAGGCTGTGGGGGGTCCATGGCTCGCCTCTCTCCGGGGCCGGCTGCCAGCCCCCTGGAAGCAGCTGTAGATGGTCAAGCGTAGAGAAAGCACCCCCGCGGTGGTCGGCTTCTCTCCTGCCCAGGGGTGGAGACCTGGAAGGAAGACAGAAAGGGCAGTGATGGCAAGCCCAGGACAGAGGAGGAAATCTGGGGTCCAAACATTAGTAGCTGAAGAGGATAGATCATCACACCCAACCACATGGATAGAGGCCCCCAACTGATATGGGGCAGAAGCTAGGCACAAGGGGACCCGAGTGAGTCTGTGTATAGAAAGTTCAAGAACACAGCCAGGCACAGTGGCTCACGCCGGTAATCCCAGCACTTTGGGAGGTTGAGGTGGGTGGCTCAACTGAGATCAGGAGTTCAAGACCAGGCTGGCCAACATGGGGAAACCCCGTCTCTACTAAAAATACAAAACTTAGCCGGACGTGGTGGTGCGCGCCTGTAATCCCAGCTACCTGGGAACCTCCAGCAGGAGAATCACTTGAACCAGGGAGGCAGAGGTTGCAGTGAGCTGAGATCGCACTACGACACTCCAGCCTGGGCAACAAGACCAAAATTACGTCTCAAAAAAAAAAAGAAAAGAAAAAAAAAGAAAGTTCAGTAACAGGCAAAACCAATTGATGCCATTAGCAATCAGAATGATAGCAGCCTCTGAGCAGGTACTGACTCAACAGGGGACGAAGAATTCACCCAGCTATACACTTAAATCATGTATGAGGGAAAATTAGAAGCGCTCATTCCAAGTCTGAGCAACGTAATGAGACCTGGTTTTCACAAAACATTTTTAAAAAATTAGTTGGGTGGCCGGGCGCGGTGGCTCAAGCCTGTAATCCCAGCACTTTGGGAGGCCGAGACGGGCGGATCACGAGGTCAGGAGATCGAGACCATCCTGGCTAACATGGTGAAACCCCGTCTCTACTAAAAATACAAGAAAATTAGCCGGGCGAGGTGGCGGGCGCCTGTAGTCCCAGTTACTCGGGAGGCTGAGGCAGAAGAATGGCGTGAATCCGGGGGGAGCGGAGCTTGCAGTGAGCCGAGATGGCGCCACTGCACTCCAGCCTGGGGCACAGAGCAAGACACCGTCTCAAAAAAAAAAAAAAAAAAAAAATTAGTTGGGTGTGGTGGTGTGTGCCTGTGGTCCTAGCTACTCAGGAGGCTAAGAAGGGAAGATCCCTTGAGCCCAGGAGGTCAAGGCTGCAGTGAGCCATGATTGTGTCACTGCACTCCAGCCTGGGCGACAGAGCGAGACCCTGTCTCAAAAAAAAAGAAACGAAAAAAGTGCTTATTCTGCAGGGCCCACTTATGAAGCACTTACTAAGTGCCAAGACCTCACCTGCCTCATCGTTTAAACCCACATAATACTCCTGAGGGGCTGGGCATGGTGGCTCACGCCTGTACTCCCAGCACTTTGGGAGGCCGAGGCGGGGGAATCACGAGGTCAGGAGTTAGAGACCAGCCTGGTGGTGCTGGTCTCCACCATGGTGAAACCCCGTCTCTACTAGAAATATAAAAAATTAGCTGGGCATAGTGGCGGGCACCTGTAATCCCAGCTACTCAGGAGGCTGAGGCAGGAGAATTGCTTGAACCCAGGAGGTGGAGGTTGCAGTGAGCCGAGATTGCGCCACTGCACTCCAGCCTGTGCGACAGAGTGAGACTCTGTCTCACAAACAACAACAACAAAAACATTACTCCTGAGGGCAGCACGGTATCAGTTAGAGAGGGGAAACTGAGGCACGAAGTGAAGTAACTTGCCTGAGGCTACATAGCAAGAAATGGTGAAACAGGCCCCACATCCCACAGCCCTGGGGCCCCAGGCTACTCTGTCTTCTGCTGAGTAACTGAGTAAGTCACCTCCCTTCTCTGTGCATTAAAATCTCTGCCACCCAGCGAAGCCAGGAGGGAACAGATGCCTCACCAAGGCTTTGTGAAGCTGGGTAAACAGCCAGAGCAGAGGTTCCTCCAAACCATCCACCTTCAAGGAGCTTCCTGGAATAAGGATCCTGTGGTCAAAAGTGGCTTTTTCCAGCTGCCTCCTCCATGCGTGAGCATATTCAAGGCTCTGAGAAGGCCCGCAGGAAGACTTTATCACAGTTTGTCAAATTGATGTAGGAGCCTTGTTGTCAGGGAGCAAGCTTTGGAAAAAGCTCAACTGGTGCCAAAAGCTATTTCTTGCCCATCTCTCCCTTCCTGATTCCCCATCCCCACCATATCTTCCCCAGCTTCAGCCTCTTTAAGCATTTCTTGTTCTGACCCCTTTTCTTCTAGTATCATACAAAGTCCAGGCTAGAGCGCACCTGTGATCCTATGCTTTTCCTGTGGTCCACTGAGGGCAAAGCTGGCTCAAGGTCAGATCCACAGAGCCAGTCGAGACTTGAACTCAGAGCCTCTGACTCACATAAGTCCTTGACTGGCTTGTGGAGCCCTGTCTCACCTCCTGAGATCGGCAATGCACTTGGAGGGTGGGGCAGTCGCCTGGATTTTCCTGCCTTTCTCCCTGGGGCATCCAGCTTGGGCTCTGCACTTAGCAAGTGCCAAATCAGTGCCAGCTGAATCACAGATCGCCATGATAACCTGCATGCCAAAACATCACCCTGCTCCATTCTGAGAGTGGGAGGGCAGGCTGGGCTCGGTGTCCTCACAGTGTGACCTTGGGCAAGTCACCTACCTACACAGACCTGGGACCTCAGCTGATGAAAGTCAATAGTGATCCTTAACAAGAACACCTACATCTGCGGCTCAGCCTTTTCCTTTTTAAAAACCATTGCTGCCACCTCCAAGCATAAAAATCTCAATACTGCCCTTCTAGTGTTATTTGAAATTCAAAATAGGTTAAATAACAAGATAAGAACAAAGAAGCCAATAGGACAAAGCTAGCTTTGTTTTCTGACTACATTCTCTTCCCTTCCCACCATCTGATCCTCCCCCAACCCTAACTCCTCCCCCTTGGAGGGGAGGAACTTCTGAATCATCTTTTTCCCTCCCTGGCACCCCCGGCACCGAGAAGTCCTCGTGGAATGTTTGCTGAAGTTCTGGAGCGCTCCACAGTTGGCCAACCATTACATGATGTCATCTGATTCTCCAACAACCCTGCAAAGCCACAGCTTGGCCCATTTGACAGGCAGCGCTGAGGTTCGGAGGGAAGGGAGACCTGTCCAAGGTTATGTGACAGGTTCATGGCAGGGCCAAGTTTCCCTGCTCAGCAGGGATTAACGATGCATCTCTAGGGGAAGGAATGGGAGTGGGGAGGGTGTTCCTCTGTAAAAAGCCCTGTAGAAGGGTCTGCCATGTGGCCTCACCCTCTTGCTCCCACCCCAGCTCCCTGACTTTTTTTTTTTTTGATGCAGGGTTTCACTCTGTCACCCAGGCTGAGTGCAGTGGCTCCATCACAGCTAACTGCAGCCTCGAACTCCCAGGCTCAAGCGATCCTCCCACCTCAGCCTCCTGAGTAGCTAGGACTACAGGCACATACCACCATGCTCAGCTAAGATTTTCCACTTTTTGTAAGGACAGGGTCTCACTCCATTGCCCAGGTTGGTCTCAAATTCCTGAACTCGAGCCATCCTGCTGCCTCAGCCTGCCAAAGTGCTGGGATTACAGGTGTGAACCACCACCCCTGGCCTCCCTGACTTCTTGAGGCAGCACCCTCTTCTCCCAGCAAAAGGGGCTCCTCCCCCCTGAACCCCCATGGCCACTTTTGACTTGGGGGACCAGCTTCCTCCCCAATCTTGTGATGATCCCATCTTTCAAATGTTTCTGGGCACCCCCCAATAGTACCCATCCCCCATGCCACCCTGCCTACTGCCGTATGGAGACTCTGCAGGGCTGTGGAGCTGAGGGCAGGGTACTGGGACCTGCCTTCCCATGTGGAAAACGGGAACAGCACACCAGACAGTTCCCCTCCCAGGGGAGTTGCAAGGGTAGAAAATGTAATGAAACCCTCAGATGCTGGATAGAGCAGGGCAGCTATGGGTTCAAATCTGACACCTTTACACTAACATCTCTCATTCCAGGGACCCCTGGTGGCAGCCACGTGACACTTGCTGCCAACCACAGGGCACTGCTGGCCATCAGGTGTGCCTCACCTGGCACTAGGAGTAAGCACAGCTCCAAGGGTCCTGGTGCCAGGCTCACCTCCCCTCACCTGCCCAGGAATACCACCCGTTAGTATTCAGAACACCCCTTTTACAGATGGAAAAAACAAAACTTAGAAAGGAGACATTTACCCTCAATCACAGACCAACATCGCTGATAAATGCCCCAGGGTGGGGGTGAAGACGATGGGGAATGGGGAAGAGGATTTGGAGGGCTTGGATGCCCCGTGCTGAGCACGGTGTGGGGTGCAGGTGCAGGCCTGGGAAGACAGGAGACCCAGCTCTGCAGATTCAGCGTCTGTGACCTGGGCAAGGAGGTCATCACACAGCTTCAGTGTCCCTGGAGTCCTTATATTTACCCTATAGAGGATAGTCAGGGCCTGGGCGCATGGCCTGAGCTCACTCAATGGTGGGAATGACGCAAGAACAAGTTTTGGAGCCAGGATCTGGCCAACAGGGGCCGCTGTGGAGGCACATGTGGTTGCAGGGAGGCCAAGGGCCGCTCTGAAGGAGAGCGGGGGCGGCTGCAGCCTGGCATTCACCTGGGGGTCACCCGCAGGCTGCAGTGCTGGTCAGGGGCCCACGTCTCATCCTGGAGGTCACTGCTCGGGTGCACACAGCCCCCTTCCTGCGGGCATCCAGCTGGGTGATGCCCCCGCCCTCTACCGCTGGACAGCGGGTCCCTGTCTTGGTTACGGCAGCTCCCCCAAACTTGCTCTGGTCCCTGGGTTAAGGGGTTAACCCGGGCGGCTGGCTTCTCCTTCCCCTCAAAGTCCAGACGCTTCAAGGTGGAAAGACGGGGAAACAGGCCAGAACGGGGTAGCTAGTTGTTCTCAGTCGCGCTAGGGGACCCGGTCCTCCGTATTCCAAGGGGGGCACCGTGGGCCATTGGGGAGCGACGGGAAAAGTGGAAAGGAGACGCGCTTCGTGCCCACCGCCCCGAGTTAGAGCCAAACCAGCCGTGGACCAGGCGAGGAGGAGCGGCTGCGGGCTGCGTCTCGGGTTCCCGCGCCACGTTTCGTGTCGCTGTGGCCTCCCGGCCAGTCCTCTCTCCTCTCTAAGCCTCAGTTTCCCGGTTTAGGAAAGGGGCTTCGAATCTTGCGGGTCTGGCACGGCTAGGGCAAAGGCAGAACAATCTGGAGGGCGACCGGGGTTGGAAGTCCGGGAAAGACTTCGACCACCCAACGTTCCCTGGGGGGACGCGGGAGCCTGGGACTCAGGACGCGGAGGGTCGCTCCGCGGGGGAGGGGGACGGCCGGCTGTCTTGGCCGGAGGGGAACCGGACGGGATGACCTCATCCGCGGCTCCAGCCTGGAATGCGGCGGTCGGGGAGGGGGCAGGGTGCCTGTCCATCTCCCCGGGTCCCCCACCCCCCACTTCCCGCTCTCCACGTGGGCCTCGGCGGAGGGGATACATTCCGCCGCGTCGCCCGCTCCCGGCCCCTGCCCTTCCTTCCCCCGCGCAGGAAGGCGCGGAGACAGCCCTCGCTCTGTCCCTCGGCTCGCCCCCTCCTCACGCACTTTGGCCGCTGAGTTTCGTCCGATCCTCTGCCCCCTCCGCCCGCCCGGAATGGGACACGAAGCCCGAAAGTTCGGAGTTTCCCTGCGCGGCTCCTCGGCCGCGCCCGGCCTTCCCGTGGGCACCCGGGGGCGCCTCTCCCGGGCGGGTCCGGTCCCCGTCCTGGCCCCGGGAGCCTAGGAGGGTGCAGAGCCCTCGCAGGCGCCGGGAATCGCCGGCCTCCACGGCCTCCGCCCCGAGGACCCGCGCGCCCCAGCTGTTACCTGGCTTCGCGAGCCCCGGGGGCGCCGGACGAGGGCGGACTCGTCCTGCAGCGGCGGCGGCCGCGCGTCCCGGCTGGCAGCCCGGGAGAGTCGCTGGGCCGGTCTGCGCCGCCCTGGCCGCAGGCTCCGCGGGCTGGATCCGGGGGCGGGGGCGGGGTGTGGGCGCTCCCGCCTCCTGCCCCTCTCCTCCCGCCCGCGGGCGGGGCTCGGCCCCCTCCCCGGCACCGTCCTCGCCGCCGCCGAGAGCTGGCTGGGACGCGACTAGGGGGCCAGGCCAGGCCTCTCTCCTCGCCACCCCGGCCAGGGCCAGACGGGGAACGTGCGGGCTGCCCCGGGGAGGCAACTCCGGTCCCCGGCCGCCAACCCCTCCTCCACCGGTTCCCCGCGTGGCCTTGGGGCGTCCAGGCCTGATGAACTCTCCTCCCTCCTGGGCCCTCCAGCCGCACCCTGCGGGAGTTTGGGGAATCGGGAAGCTGGATCTGAGGCCCTGAATGCCTGGGCCTTTAAACCTTGATGTTTACAAGCATGACATGCCCACTCCTTTCCTCCGGGTTCTCATTCCCTTCCACCCGGTACAGGCCTCGCGGTGCCCAGGAGGAAGACAGCCACACTGGGGCGACTGGTAGAGTCGGGTACAGTGGCTGTCAAGGCCGGGACCTTGGAGCCGGACAGCCTGGGCTCCTGTCCTGCCTCAGTCACTACTTACCTTTCTCTGCCTCAGTTTCCTGATCTGAAAGTGGGATAGATAATAGCAGCATTAGATGTTGTGTCAAGTGTCCCCTGCTCCAAGAGCACCTAGGAGGCTTGCTTGGCAGGTAAATGAGGTCGCATCTCAGAGACTTTACAGATCCCGCCCCCCCACCTCCATGGGGGGCAGGGAATCAGCCATACCCGGGACCCTGTGCCATCATCAAGGAGGGGAGATAGATTCTGGCCCCTGTCTCCTGTTGTCGTGCCCTCCTCTGACTACTCCCCTCTGACTATAGAGTCCTCAGGCTGTCAGGGCACAGGGAGGTCCCTAACACTGCCTGAGGTCCTGGGGCCTCAGGAAAGCTTCCTAGAGGAGATGATACCGGAGTTGTCTTTTTTTTTCTTTTTTTTTGGCGGAGTCTTGCTCTGTTGCTCAGGCTGGAGTGCCTTGGCACAATCTCGGCTCACTGCAGCTTCCACCTCCCGGGTTCAAGCGATTCTCCCTCAGCCTCCGGACTAGCTGGGATTACAGGCACCCACCCACGCCCGACTAATTTTTGTATTTTTTAGTAGAGAGGGGGTTTCGCCATGTTGGCCAGGCTGGTCTTGAATTCCTTACCTCAGATGATCTGCCTGCCTCGGCCTCCCCAAGTGCTGGGATTATGGGTGTGAGCCACTGCGCGGTTGTGAGTTAAGTCTTACAGGACGTGTAGGCAGAGGGAAGGGCAATGGAAATGCACAGTGCACAGCTGGCAGGGGGACAGCACAGCAAAGGCTGGGAGCGGAGGACCCCGCAGCGGAGGCAAACCTGGCTGGAGGAGACTGGCTGAGCGCTGTTGTGGCAGGGGACCAGGAGCCGTATTTACCTGCAGGTGGAGGAGACAAGGTCTTTACTGTTCACCTAGGGGCTAGGCCTCTTCCACTGGCTCCCTGAATCCCCATGCTGGCCGCCAAGGGAAGGAGCTATTCCTGCAGCTGGACAAATGAGGAAACGGAGGCACAAAGCATTCTAGCATTTGCTCAAGTGGCACAGCAGTAGGAACTCTTTCCCTGGGGGCCAGCCCAGGAGCATTTTGTCCCATGGAGAATTGAAACAGCATCGGGACAGTGAGCCAGCAGGCAGCACTGGCAGGTGTAGATTTAGAAGACTGACTCTCGGCAGGCGTGGTTGCTCATGCCGGTAATCCCAGCACTTTGGGAGGCCGAGGTGGGCAGATTACTTGAGGCTGGGAGTTTAAGACCAGCCTGACCAATACGCTGAAACTCCGTCTTGACTGAAAATACAAACATTAGCCAGGCGTGGTGGCAGGTGCCTGTAATCCCAGCTACTTGGGAGGCTG